GAGGGGTGTGTGTGTGTCTAAAACTCAAATAAATAAATCAGTCCCTGCTGTGGCTCTGTGCTGCCATTTATCCCTCCGGACCCTTCTGGATTTGCTAGTAGACAAGATGCAGGTGTTTCCAAAATTGCATTATTTCAGGCTTTCTGACCTCCTTGGATAACTGTCTCCTTTTTTTCCTCTGTGCCCTCCTTGCAGTGGCGCTTAATTTCCAGACGCCAGGGGCAGAGATGGACCTCAACGACGGGCGCTTCCTGGTGAACGGGCGTTGTGGCTATGTGCTGAAGCCGGCCTGGCTGCGCCACAGCCAGACCAACTTTGACCCCGAGTCCCCCCGGCGGGGCACCGGCCAGCGCCCCGTTGCCCTCACGATCAAGGTACGGTCAGCGGGGAATGTTTTTGTGTGCCAAAGCCGGTGATTACTTTTCTGTGTTCAAATGCATGTGCAAGCCAAGTACTTGTGCGGAGACGATGGCGCCAGCAACGTGAGCGCCTGCCTCTGGATCATGCAGACCGCAAGCAAAGTCCCACTTCATGGGGCTGTCAAGGCAAGAGATGAGCAGAACTGGTCTGCTGTTGCCTTCCTTTGCAGAAGAGCCCACCGTCTTCCTTGGTGGTCTCTCATCCGTCTCCTGGCCCTACTTAGCGTCTGTCAGGCTCTCTGTGCATTTTGCAGTTTACAGCTCGCCTGTCATTGAGAGAGGAGGCTCCCCTCTCTCCCTCTCTTTGAAGCGTCTGGGGCTTATCACCTTCACGATGCCAAATGTCCTGGCCTCTCAAATGTCTGTGCTCTTGGTTCCTTGCTATGTAAGGCTACGTGCCTATGAGGGGAAGGGGGGGGGAGCTGACGGTTAGTTCTGGAGGCCAAATGCTCGGGCAGTGGTGGCGAACCTACGGCACGGGTGCCAGAGGTGGCACTCAGAGCCCTCCCTGTGGGCACGCCTGCCATCGCCCCAGCCAGGCCCAGACCATCATTAAAGTGTCGAATCCTCTGCCAAATAACTTTAAGTAAATGAAAGCATTTGGGATTGCTTTCCTTACTTTGTACGAGTTGTTTTTTCTAAAGTAAAACCTCAGTATTCAGGTTAAATTGCCGTGTTGGCACTTTGCGATAAATAAGTGGGTTTTGGGTCGCAGTTTGGGCACTCGGTCTCTAAAAGGTTCGCCATCACTGTGCTAGGGGGTGATTGGATCCTGATCTTTAGTGCTTTTACTTGAATTCCCTATATCTGTAGGTGCGTTTAACTTCAGTTCTAACACATGGAATTCACTGCCACAGGAAGTGGTGGCGGCTACAAGCATGGACGGCTTCAAAAGGGAATTAGATAAGCATATGGAGCAGAAGTCTATCAGTGGCTATTAGCCACAAGGTATAGATAGGGGCTCTGGGGCAAGGGATGCTCTGTGTAATTGGTGCTTGGGGGGGGTCAACAGTGGGAGGGCTTCTAGTGTCCTGGCCCCACTGGTGGACCTCCTGATGGCACCTGGTATTTCTGGCCACTGTGTGACACAGAGTGTTGGACTGGATGGGCCTTTGGCCTGATCCAACACTGGTGTCTCTTATGTTCTTATGTTCTTAACAATAGATGTGTTTAGGTTGGTATCCATCCACTGTCTCAATAAAGTTAGCTTTCTACAAACGGGCTGGTGTTGAGAACTGATTTAACCAGGTCAGTTCTGATGACATCAGAGTCGCCTGGGCTATATATCGCAAGCCTGGAAATAAGGCCTGTTTTATTTATTTCTTATGATCCACCTGTCTCATGGGACTCAAGGTGGATTGGGAGTACAGTCAGTAAAACAGGACGTTCAGCAAACAGCACTTTAGGAGATTAGAAGTGTGGCGCCGCCAGAAAGAAATGAAGCAGAGCACAAGTATTCACGTGGCACATTAAGCAATACAGAAATTACATAAAGAGGATCCTGCGTACAATACTCCTGTGTAGAGCAGTATAGCCCGCAAGCCTAGTCATGTACCCAGGGAAACAAGGCTTACTTAGCTGTTAGGCGCAGTGCCTGCTAAGCCCAATATACTTTAAAAGGTAAAGGTAAAGGTTCCCCTGCTCGAAAGCCAGTCGAGTCCGACTCTAGGGTTGCGGTGCTCATCTCTGTTTCAAAGCCGAAGAGCCAGCACTGTCTGAAGACGTTTCCGTGGTCATGTGGCCGGCATGACTAAACACCGAGGCGCACGGAACGCTGTTACCTTCCCACCGAAGTGGTACCTATTTATCTACTTGCAATTTCTTGCTTTCGAACTGCTAGGTTGGCAGGAGCTGGAACTCGAGACGGGAGCTCACTCCGTCACGCGGCAACTCGGGTCTCGAACTGACCTTCCACAGCCTGCAGTTCAGCGTCTTAACCACTTGAGCCACCGCAGCTCCAAGATACTTTTAGGGGCCCACAAAAATGTTTTACTTCCTTTTAAAATCAGAAGACAAAAATTGAAAATTTTAGGGTAGAAGAAAATGTTTAATTCCCCCCCCCTCACATTAGAAAAAAAATTAAATGTTTAGGGTCCACAAAGAATCTATTAAATTTTGCCTAAAACAGAAAAATATAAAATACTGAAGTATTTAAAACTATATCAAAAATAATGTTAATACTGATATACGACAGAAATAAATAACAGCTCCAATTTTATGCACACTCCAAGTGAATTAAACACAGACAAATGGTGACCATATAAACTGAGCTCGTTATTCCAGTTTGGTCCTTGCATCTGTTAAACACCTTTATGACGCTGTATGCTAATTTGCTGCTCACCCTCGACCTTTATGCATGGACTGGCAACTTCCATTTCAATGTATCTGAAGAAGTGTGCGTGCACATGAAAACTTATACCCAGAATAAAACTTGGTCTTAAAGGTGTCACTGGACTTAAACTTGGTTCTGCTGCTTCAGGCCAACACAGCAACCCACCCAAGTGAACTCAGTGAAACTTGTCCCAATTAGTTGTGCAGAGCAAGTTGGGATGCGAATAAACACCCAAATAAACAGTTTTTGGAAAGCTCTTTGGGGGTGTTTGGTGCATGATGGCTGGTTTTTGTAATGCAATTCAACAGTTCATGCTGCAGCAGTGCTATGTCTTGGTCTGAGGCGAATGTGATGCTGGGTGCTCATTTTCACAGCCAGGGTCAAGGCTTGGGTGTATGCTGCAGAAGCAGCGCGGAAGGTGGGCACAGAATTTAGTTTCCTGAGAATCTGGGTGTTGAATGTAAAACGTGACTTTTTTTAGGGTGAAGGCTTTCTGACGTCTCAGAAGCTGGAGAGGTGGCAAGGTGGGGAGAAAGCCAAGAATTCAGTGGCCCTCTGATAGCTAAAAGCCAAAGGAAATCATACAAAGTCAGAGCTTTGAAGCCAAATGTCTAATGTTTACATAATTAACACAGGAAGCAGGAATCCAGCATTTCTTGGTGCAGAATTTTACACCTCCTTAACCACAGAATACACACAGCTCAGACCATAATCCACCTGTGTGGGTTCATTTTGAATAGGGGATAGTGAAATGACTAGTAGGGGTCATTTCGTAGAAAAAGAGGTGCAGGAGATCATTTGCATAACTCATTTGCATATGCCACACCCCCTGACAAAGGTCAGGAGAAGGGAAAGAAAGGCATTTAAATCCCCCCAGGCAGCGGGGGTCTCTGCAGGCCTTCCCTGGCCTGTTGGCGTTGTGGGGGGGGCCAGGAAAGGCGGGGGGGGGGCACCCCTGGTCTCCTTGCTGCCGGAGCGCCATTCCAGCGTGCTCCGGCAGGAAATGACCCCTGGTAGAGACTTTATTACAAGGCATGTTGTTTGCTTTGTGAAGAGTTGTGGAGCGCTTTTCCTGTTCTGGGGGTTGGTGGAAAGGGGCCCAGCCCAGTCCCTCTCCTGCTCTGAAGTCTCCCTTCCCGGCCTCCTGCAGGTGATCACAGCACAGCAGCTCCCCAAGCTGAACAAGGAGAAGAACTCCTCCATTGTGGACCCCTTTGTGCGCATCGAGATCCACGGCGTTCCCGTTGACTGTTGCAAGAAGCAGACGGAGTATCGGCTGAACAACGGTAAGGTGTGGCTGAGGACACCCAGGGAGGCTGGAGCTGAGAGATGGAGGAGCCATAAGAACACAAGAGAAGCTGTGTTAGCTCAGGCCAAGGGCCCATCCAGTCCAACGCTCTGTGTCACGCAGTGGCTAAAACTCAGGAGCCCTCTGGAGGCCCGCCAGCAGCCAGCCTCGCCTGTGGGAGGTCCCAGAGGGGAGGAGAAAAGGCATTCAGGCCCCAGGGCCACGGAAGCCCCCTTCTTGAGACACGAGGGAGGTACGTCCCTTCTGGGTAGACGGAGCTGGCAGTTCGGGACACCGCCTTGCCTCTGAACAGATGCGGCAGTGGCGGCGTCAGCAGGCGAGGCCCTACCCAGAGATCTCCTTTTACACAAAAAAAATTGCAAAGAGCAGCCAGAAAGGGTGAGTGTTTGGATTAGTATGGGAGAAGCAGGTATTATCCATTTTCCCACTTGTAACTTTGGGAGGAGGTATCAATTTAAATGGAGGAGGCAATGTGTGTGTGTGTGGGGGGGAACCCTACCCCCAGTGCTGAGCGTCAAATGGATGTGGGCTCTCCCCCCGAGTCCGCGCACTTAACCACTACACCAAACTGACTCCCTCAAACTGTGCATCTGAGCACAAAGGTGTTACATATAGTTTGGCTCTTGGGCAGTCGAACTTTGCACTTATCACAGACCCCGTACAATGTGGAGCTGTGTGGAGTATTCTGGCATCGCACACCAGTACAAGAGAGAGATGCAGGTGGGGGCAGCCGTCTTGCTCTGAAGCAACAGAACGAAGTTTGAGTCCAGAGGCACCTGTAAGACCAACCAAGTTTTATTCGGGGTATGAGCTTTCGTGTGTCTCTGAAGTGGTGTATGTGCGCATGAACGCTTATACCCAGAATTAGACCTTGTGGGTCTTGAAGGTGCCGCTGGACTCAAACTTTTTCCAAGTACAAGAGATGTATGAAATGGAGTTGCTGAACGTAGCTTCTTGAGAATCTGGTTTTTCCTTGACAAACCCTCCAGCCCTTAAAGTGGGCATCGTGAACTTTGGGCTTCTGTCCTGGAGCAACCAGCAAAACTTCACCTCATCTGAACGTCTGTTTCTTTGGGTTTGCCCATGTGGAGCGTTGGGATGCTCAGTCAGAGTCTGTGTAAATTTCTTTCGCATTCCTGTCTCTGCTTTGCGCTGAAACGCTTACCTCTAATGATGTGCAGGTGGGTGTGGGTGTGTGGTCGGCCTTTCCAGGCAGCCGTGGGAGCCGGACAGTTCCCAGCTTCGCCTAGATACAGTTTTCTGGCTTTAGCCCGCGCGCGGGAGGGTGCCTAATTGGCCAGCGGAGTGGGGGGGGGGGTGCATTCGAATGCCCTATATCTTATTATGTCCAAGGGACAACTGCCATTCTTAACAGTGACTATGTTAATGCATCTATAGCTCTTCAATAAAAGTATAACCCTTCCTGAAAGCGTGTACTCCGTTGTTGGCTGTGGGTTCTGACAACTACACCAAATTGGCTCTCTCAAACTGTGCATCTGAGCACAAAGGTGTTTGCCTCTTGGGCAGTCGAACTTTGCACTCATCACAGACCACGTGCGATGTGGAGCTGTGTGGAGTATTCTGACATCGCACGCCAGTGCAAGAGAGAGATGCAGGCGGGGGCAGCCATCTTGCTCTGAAGCAGCAGGACAGAGTTTGAGTCCAGGGGCACCTGTAAGACCAACCAAGTTTTATCCTGGGTATGAGCTTTCGTGTGTATCTGAAGAAGTGTATGTACCCAGAGTTAAACCTTGTGGGTCTTGACGGTGCCACTGGACTCAAACTTTTTCCAAGTACAAGAGATGTATGAAATGGAGTTGCTGAACGTAGCTTCTTGAGAATCTGGTTTTTCCTTGACAAACCCTCCAGCCCTTAAAGTGGGCATCGTGAACTTTGGGCTTCTGTCCTGGAGCAACCAGCAAAACGTCACCTCATTTGAACGTCTGTTTCTTTGGGTCTGCCCATGTGCTGCAGGGTTTAATCCATGCTGGAATGAAACGCTGACATTCCCGGTCCGGGTTCCAGAACTGGCGCTGGTGCGCTTCGTAGTGGAGGATTACGACACAACTTCTTCCAACGACTTTGTGGGACAATTCACTTTGCCGCTGCCCAGTGTAAAAGAAGGTGGGTGTGCTCGTTTCCCGGCTGCGGGGGGAGGGGGGCTTCCACAGTGGCACCTGTCTTCTCACTAACTGCAGCTTCAGAGGAGCTGTGTAAATTGAGGAAACTCTAACTCCCCATCTATAGATCAGCCAGGCAAAGATAGTCATTAGCTTTTAAAAAAATCTAGAGTGATTTGTGTCATGGTACTCTTGCATCAGGAGCTGCGGTGGCTCAAGTGGTTAAGACGCTGAACTGCAGGCTGTGGAAGGTCGGTAGTTCAGCAGTTCGAGACCCGAGTGCGCCGCATGATGGGGTGAGCTCCCGTCTCTGGCCCCAGCTCCTGCCAACCTAGCAGTTCGAAAGCAAGATATTGCAAGTAGATCAATAGGTACCACTTAGGTGGGAAGGGAACAGCGTTCCGTGCACCTTGGTGTTTAGTCATGCCGGCCACATGACCACGGAAACATCTTCGCTGGCTCTTCGGCTTTGAAACGGAGATGAGCACCGCAACCCTAGAGTCGGATTCGACTGGCTTTCGAGCAAGGGAACCTTTACCTTTACCTTTTACTCTTGCATCACACATGCCTTGCTCTATAGAATTTGCAAAGCCAAGTGTAGGATTTCTTGCCTGAATCACTGTTCCCTCTAAGCCAGGAGTGTCAAACATGCGGCCCCCCGGATCAGGCCCCCCGGAGGGCTTCTATCAGGCCCGCAGTGGAACTGGCTGTCTTCTGCTTCTTCTTCCAGTTCTGCTGCTGCTGGGTCATCGTAGGTTTGCAGCTTACAGATACACACCTGGACAGCATACTCAAGATTGCAACAGCACAGACATTTTGATGTAATAATTCAGAGCAAGAGGTGTCAGTTATCAGACACTGTTAAATAAGCAAAATATTGCAAGAGTGCTAATGTTTTAAGCATGTTTTTATTTTAAGTTAAAAAAAAACACACCCTTTGTGTTTGTTTCCTTTATAAAGTGTATATCTCCGCTACCTGGCATTACTTTTTATGACACACATGGCCCGGCCCAACAAGGTCTCCTTTATGTCATATCTGGTCCTCGTAACAAATGAGTCCGACACCCCTGCTCTCACCTGTGGGCATGAGCTCATTAACCCAGGAAGCCCTGCTCAGCAGCAGTCCGGAGCCACACGGGGCCTTGCACTGGCCCATTACCCATTTGAAGATTACAGCAGTTGTATTCTGCTCAGGATGTGGACTGCTCCACTCAGAAGGGGGGGGGGTTTGTATTCTGCTCAGGATGGTGACTGCTCCACTCAGAAGGGGGGGGGGGGATGAGAAGGAACAAGTCCTGATTTTCTAGCAAACAAGAGGACAGAACTGTTCGGGGTCATGTAGCTCATACTCTCCCCCAAGCAGCATCACCTACTCCTCAGACTTCCCAACCCCACATATCCTAGATGGAAAGCAGGTATTATTGGGTGTTGTAAATAAGAAGCGGGAGACTGACCAGTTACGAAGGTGCACAGAGAGTTTATATAGTTATAAAGGTGAATATATACAGAGATATTTACAGGCTGTTGAACAGCATGTCATGCCTTAGTCTATGAGAACTGAGTCCCCATCCAGTTTACTAAGCTGATAGCTATTATGCTAAACCCCAGTCAATCTCTAACAAGGTGATGTAATCACTAGCTCTAACAAGCCCTGAAAGAGCAACACCTGCTAGAAAACACCTGGCTGTAATTACATGATTACTAGCATGACAGCTAGGTCTGACAAACAGATCAAACTGATCTGTAGTAACTGCTTGCTACCTCTATCACTCTGACATATATCTCAATAGGTATGTTCTACAGCACTGTCTGTACAGCAAGCAAGGAGGCCAGTCAGTTTCCTGGAAATTTGCTGTTTGACCTGAGCCAGGGATTTTTTTTTGGGGGGGGGGCTGTTATGTGGAGCCCTGGAGGGGCTGAAGGAGCCCATGGAATGGAGTGGGACCAAAGTTTACGTACTGTATTTGATTGGACCTTAGCTGACATGTGGGCGTGGCTTGCCAAGCCCGGACTGTTTAAAAAGGAGCCTGTTGCTCCATAGTTTGTCTCGTTCTGGTCCTTCTGACTTCGTGTCCCAATAAAGCTGTTATCACTGTGCCGCCCCGCCTCCCCCTCTCTGACAGGATTTCCTTCTACCTCTTACTCCTCCCCAGGGTATCGCCACATCCACCTGCTCTCCAGAGATGGCACGCCATTGTCTCCCGCCACGCTTTTTGTGCACGTGAAATGCAAGAAGATGTGAAAACGAGTGGAGAAAGACGCAAAGGCCACGGGCAGGAAAACAGCTGAGCAGCTGCGCTAATAACTTGGTCCCCCCCTCCCCGCCCCCGTCAAACTGTGTGTGCTTCTGAGCCACAAAGATGAAGCGGTGTGGGGCCAGCCCCTGTGGGCTGGGCTGAGACAGTGGTTTGAGAGTCAGTCAACCCTTGCTCGAAGGTTCCAGCTCCGTTAGGGTCCGGGATCTGACGAAATGGGGGTGCTGTTGAGTTTGAAAGCAGAAAGCCTCTTCTGAACCCCATTTGGGGTGCTGGGAGAGGGTGCCCACCTCACCCCCTTCCCCCTGAGTAGCTTGGGAAACAAGCCACAAGATGGCGAGATTCAGCTGAGTTTCCTACAGTCACGCACACCTTACAAGTAGCAGTTAGTGAAAGGATTTATTAAGCTGTCTTTCAGGGAAGAGGGAGCAGGGGTGCAAATGTGGAGCGGAATAGAGAACTGCCAGCCTGCACAGACATCGGGACTGTGGATACAGTGTGAACATTTGGGCAGGTGTGGGCCTGCCTCAGAGGCCTCCGTTGTTCATTGTGCGGCCTATGCGCAACCGCACGGGCTTGGGTTTTAGCTGAAGTCACCAAAGGCAGAAACGCCTTGCCGAGACCTCCGGTTGGGTAAGAAAACTGTGTCTGTGCTTCTGTGGGAAACAGGCTACCAACCCATCTAAACAGACAGACAATTTAAGAAACCCATCCGTGGGCTTTTGCCCTGACAATAGAAGCTTTTTAGCTTTCGCTAGTGCCTGGCGGACGCAAGGTACAAGCCAGTGAGGGCCATGCATTGGATGTGAACAGCCCTACGCCCCTCCCCTCGAATCAGACTCTCCAACAGCTGACAGACCTGTCGTGCAATGAATGTGGAGTTAGATTTGAGTGCAGAAGCACCTTAGAAGCCAAGGAAGGTCTCAGGGTGAGGCCTTTCGAGAGTCAAAGCACTCCCTTCGTCAGATGCAGCAGAACTCTGAGGGGTGCTGCAAAAGAATGCTTGTAAAATATGCAGCGGTACCATGGAGATTGTAATTGGCTTGAGAGAGCAGAAGGGAAATGTCTTGGGGGCAGAAAATTGGCATCTGTAGTGAGATAAGAATCCTGTGTCCCTATTCAGCCCTGGGGGGCAGGTACATTGTTCGGAACTTGTGAATGAACTGTAGTCCAGCAATCTCCTGCTGTAATTTCCCTTTGAAATTTCTTCGTTTGAGGACCGCTACTGTACATGCAGTGCCGTTTGTATTCCCCAGTATTATAAAGTCTCCCTGTAGCTTCAGGGCTTCTCTTATAGAGAACGATGGTGCCTTGCTTGTTTTTACTTACGTCATTTTCATGCTGGGCCTCCCGTTAAAAAAAACAACCCTAATTGTGAAGAATGAAACATTGGACTTGCCTGAAGGTTTCTTTTCAGTGTGTGTGGGGGGAGTCATCCATACCAGTTAGGCCACGCCTCCTCTTGCTCCAGGCAGGGCTAGGCAATTTTTTAATGCCTTTCCAGGATAGAGCTACGGTGCCCTTCCAGACATAAAACAGCACAGCTCCCAAAGACATATCACCCGAGTCAGGAAGGTCTTCAACCATTTTATTAACTGGAAACACTTAAAAGAGAACTCTTCACCACCTTAATATAAAATCCACACACACACTTTTTTTCCTTCTTTTGTGGTGGGGAAAATTGGATGCCTTTGCCCCACTGAAGAGAAGAGACCTTCATCAGGTGAATCTGGTGTTTTGTTCTCCTTCAGTGGGGGAAGGCATCCACCCTGGTTATGTAACCAAGCTGAAAACCGGGTGGGACATCCGCCACGTAAAACTAGTCCAAAACCTGCTGGAGAACCCGTCTCCCAAACACAGCTTCCAAAGAATTCTGTTGGTCGGTTTCATAGTGCTTAACAAAGGCTGAAAACGAAGACCCTGCTGCCGTCCTGCAGAGCTCCTCAGTTGGAGCTCTAGTAGCGAACGTGGCCGATGTGGCAGCTGCTCTTGTGGAATGCGCTGTAATTCCTGAAGGAGTCCCAACGAGGCCCCGGACCTCAGATGCTTTGCAAGTGCAAAACTTAATCCAAAGAGCTGCGGTCACCTCGGTGACTTTTTTGCCCAGGTTCATCATTCTGGGGGACACAAAGAGTGCGTCTGAAAGTCTGAATGAAGCAGCCCTCTTAATGTCAATGCAGAGGACCCGTCTGACATCCAGCTTACGCCACATCTTTTCCTTTGAGAGTGAAGGCCTAGGGCAGAAAGACGGCATGACTAGCTGTCAATTCAGATGGTGAGGCAAGTTGACCTTGGGGATGAGAGGTGGGTCGGCTCTTAATCCAACCCGGTTCCTGTCAAAAGTACAAAGCTCTTTCCTTACTGAAAGAGCTCCCAGCTCAGAAACTCTTCTTGCAGATGCAATGCCAACTAGAAAAGCTACTTTGCAGGATAAGAGCCTTAACTATATAGAATTTAAAGGTTCAAAAGGTGGTTTAGTTAAGGCCTGCAGTATCTTAGACAGGCTCCATGGTGGAAATCTGAGTCTCTGTAATGCCTGCTAAATCATATCCCTCTGTCTGCATTAGAAGCTCAAGGTCTTCCTTCTTATTGCTCAGGCTTTGGGCACTGGTACATAGACACCTGAAGCCCCACACCTTTGGCTCCATTGGACCTGGCCCTCCCAGGTGGGCCTCTGCCATTTGCTCTCCTTCGTTTAAATCCCTGCATTGGTTGTCTCCTTCCCCTTGGGCAGTGTTCCCTCTAAGCTGAGTTAGTGTGAGCCAGCTCACAGTTTTTTAGCCTGCAGCTCACAGATTTTTGTCTAAGCTCAGGAAGGAGGGCTCCAGAGCAAACTAATTGATGCAGTAGCCAAATCGCTCGCTCACAACTTTAATGTCCGTAGCTCACCAAGTAGAATTTTTGCTCACAAGACTCCTCAGCGTAGAGGGAACATTGCCTTTGGGGTGTCAGTTTAAAGCCCTCTTCATGAATCTCCCCAGGTTTCTGCCAGACACGTTCTTCCCTGACCTACTGATTCAAAGCAGCGGCTTCTTCTGCTTCTTCTTCTTTTGCAGGCAAGCGGAGCTAAGCTCTGGTGTCCTGCTGGAGGGGCAGGGGTATTCACACTGGAAGGGCACTCTAGCTCTGCCCAGGAAGGCATCCAAAATGTTGCCTACCCCTACTTGGAGCAAGAGGACGCACGACCTTCCCCCCCCCATAGTTTATTTAACTATTTTCCATAACAAAAATCACATAAAAGTATACTCATATACATCATAATTTGGAGTTTCCTTTACGTATTTTTTCCAAACCAACTGTCTACTTTCTGCCATCTTTTTTAAAACACATTTTCATCCTTTCCCGACAAAATCGTATTTACTTTATCCATTTCTTTTATTTCCATCATCTTTACAATTAATTCTTCTCTTCTTGGAATTTTATCTGATTTCCAACATTTAGCTATAAGTATTCTGGGCATAGTAAGGATATATAGAATCAAACATGTATCGTTATACTTTATCCCTTCTGGTAACATATTTAACAAAAATATTTCTGGGTCTAACGCCAGATCTATTCCCACTATTTCCGCAATTAGTTGCTTTATGGTTTTCCAAACCATGACCTAACCAGTGTGGATAACTTCCCCCACGGAAGGAAAACCAGTGCTTCGGCGTCAGGGGAAGAAAGTACAAACCAAACCACGGGCCTCTCCAAAGCAGCGCTGTAGCAATATATTCCGATTGTCTCACTGGTTTAGTAGAAAAGAATAATGAAAGCGCCTCCCCTGCCATAAATTTTGTCAGTCTTTCAGGTGCTACTGCTGGACTCTTGCTCTTTTCTACTGCTACAGACAGACTAACACAGCAAGCCATCTTGATGTGTCACACTGATTTAGGTGCATTACATATACATAACACTGGGGGGGGGGAAGTCAGAGTAACCTCAGAGGACAAACGCACGTGCCGCCCTCCTTTTTAAAATGATTCTGTATTTTTAGAAGCTCTTCTCTGCTGCTCCCCCCAGGCAGTCTCATCATCCAAGAATAGCACTTCCTTCTGGTTGGAGAACACAGTCAAGGGCCTCTTTCGCCAGAGGAAGCTCCATAGCTGCGGAGAGGGGCTCTGGCTTTGGGGCAGGGTCAAGGGTCCTGCTTCTTGAAGGCCGCCTGCGTTAAGGCCCCAACTTCCGGGATCAAACAGGGTTGCTTTCCCCCTTGGCTTATTTGAAAGGCCATATTTTAAACTCCTTAAGCCCCTACCTCTTCCAGCGTTTTGGTGGTCCAAAAACACACTTAGAAAAGCAGGGGTTGGCCTTCTGGTTGGAGAACACAGAGGAAGCTCCGTAGCTGCGGAGAAGGGCTCTGGCTTTGGGGCAGGGTCAAGGGTCCTGCTTCTTGAAGGCCGCCTGCGTTAAGGTCCCAACGTCCGGGATCAAGCAGGGTTGCTTTCCCCCTTGGCTCATTTGAAAGGCCACATTTTAAACTCCTTAAGCCCCTACCTTTTCCAGCGTTTTGGTGGTCTAAAAACACACTTAGAAAAGCAGGGGTTGGTAGCTAGCGGCCATTTTGCTAAATCTTGTTCATGATTAGTTAGAAACACCCCACCACCACCACCCCTACTACTGTTGCCCTTTTGATGGCTAAGTGGAGACTTTTGGCTCATGTCCCAACACAGCCAGGATCCTGCCCCTTCATCCCTTGGCCTGGGTAAAGGTAAAGATTCCCTTGCTCGAAAGCCAGTCGAATCCGACTAGGGTTGCGGTGCTCATCTCCGTTTCAAAGCCGAAGAGCCAGCGCTGTCCGAAGACGTTTCCGTGGTCATGTGGCCGGCATGACTAAACACCAAGGCGCACGGAACGCTGTCACCTTCCCACCGAAGTAGTACCTATTCATCTACTTGCAATTTCTTGCTTTCGAACTGCTAGGTTGGCAGGAGCTGGAACTAGAGACAGGAGCTCACCCCGTCTTGCGGCACCCGGGTCTTGAACTGCTGAACTACTGACCTTCTACAGCCTGCAGTTCAGCGTCTTAACCACTTGAGCCACCGCAGCTCCAGTGTTAAAAAGCAACGGGAAAGGAGCTTGGAGCTGCTCTAGAAAGCGACACTAAGAATAGTGCCGTTTAAAAAAAAAACAAAAAACACATGAACAGTACAATATATGAAACTAGGAAAAAGGTCCGTTGTGGAAATAAATACAACGGCCTCTAGAAAAAGGCTCTGGGCGGGTGCCCCGGCCTTGGACACTCCGTGTCAATTTGCTGTGGCGACCTCAGCAGGGTATAATGACACTGAGTCCACCATTTTCTCCAGAGGAACTGATCTCTGCTACCTAAAGAACAGTTGTAATTTTGAGTGATCTCCAGCCCTCACCTGGAGATTGGCAATGATGTTTCCCCAGAAGGGAATAGTTGGTTTGGAGGGTGGAGTCTATGGCTTTGTACCTGTCCGAGGTCCCACGCCTCCTGAAACCTCACCCTCTCCAGGCTCCATCCCTCACATCTCCAGGAATTTCCCACCTGGAGTTGGCAACCCTATCTCCTT